CTGCATTCTATAGCAAAGTCACATGTTGTGGTAAGGTTGGAATAGAAGTTTGGAATTATGGATATTGACAATCATGCTAGAGGCTTGGTCTTTTTGTCTTTGATATCAACAACATGTATAAAGGAATTTTAAAACATTTTTGAGTGTTCTTTGATGTTTATTTGACTTTTAAGACAAGAAGTTATGTTGTCCCCAGGGTGTTGACGACACGTATCGAAGTAGGGGGGGGGGGGGGTGTTTGTCATATTGTACCTGGCCAGTGTCCAGCTATTGGACTTTTGTTATCTAACCGCTGGAGCGTGGGTCCACACGGACTTTAGAACTTGGGTCGGTGAGTCGTTTCTCTCGCTCTCTCTGTGTCTCAATTTGCATAGATCTAGTTTACTGCTAGAGTCTGGATTTTCGTTTACAAGAAAGAAATTTTCAATTCAAAAACGGTAAGTAAATCAGTTAGGTATATTCCTCAAATTCGTTATTTAGAAAAGGGGGGGGGGGGTTCAATACTGATGAGCCAGGCCCTCCTGATATGTTATCATCGCAGTTAAGGACAATAGGAGATGGTTTTACTTTTAAAATAGAAAATACTGTGCTTATATATACAGTTAAACCGGTCTATAACGCCCCCTTTTGGGACTCACCAAAATAGGATGCTATAGACAGGTCACTTTTAATGTAAATCGCATCGTACTACGTATTTAAAATCGGGCGCTATTTAGAGGGGGCGCTATAGAGTGGTTTAACTGTATATAGTTTCATTTATTGAATATATATTATCTAAAAAAGCGTTTATACTAGAGATCGACAAAATACAAAGTTCCTTTAAAGCTTCCAATCATTGAAAAAGAACGACAGTGGTTCTCCGAAACGAAATACAGTAGAACAACCCTCATGAGAAGACACTCGCGCTAGAAGACATCTCTCTACAAAGGACAGTTTTAATATTACAAAATTACCATTTTACAATTTATTAACTCTCCAATAAGTAGACACCTCTCCCCTAAAGGATACTTTATCTCTGCAGTTAGGTGTTGTCCTTTACAGGGAGGTATTTCTACTGTTTAATAAACTGTTTTAAAGATACATCAAACATTTTTTTATATTTAATTTCCAACTTTTCAGTGATTATGTCACTCTCCTCAAGGGAAAGATTGAAACGTCAGGAATTAAATACAAAAATTGGTTAATGTTTCTATAACTTTTTTAAACAAATCAACAAATGATGTTCAAAACATTTTTAAAGGTTGATAAAACTCCATATCGAATTAAATAAACTGTCGCACTGAGCCACAAAACAAAACTCTATAATACTTGAACAAATATTATTTATTGCAAAGTCAAAACTACAGTAGACATCTAAATTAGCAAGACTACTGGACTCTGGACTCCTCAACTTTACATCCTATTTCTAGCACCAATAACTGGAACTATATAAATTGTACTACAATAAAGAACGATTTCTTGAAAATAAAGATACTACGGCCAGTAAATCTTTTTATTATCTCGACGTTTCGACAAAAAGCTTTTGTCCTCGTCAGGAGCAAACAAAAATTGAAACATTTGGCAAGAATGATTTTCAACGCCTTGCCAAATGTTTTAATTTTTGTTTGCTCCTGACGAGGACAAAAGATTTTTGTCGAAACGTCGAGATAATAAAAAGATTTACTGGACGAAGTATATTTAATTTGAAGAACTGTGAATGCCGGCCAGGCAGCCTCTATCTTTACGATAATAAAGAACGAATATGCAAAGAGTAAATATGCAAAGACAAACAACATAAATAATTGAAGTATTTATTTTAAAAAAGCTAAAAAACCCCTATATAAAGTCCCCAAAAAGCTGTTTTTCCCACGTATCTCCAGGTTATATATAGCCTATATAGAAACGTGACTAAAGAGATGGGGAAATAGAAGATAAAAGTGCCATCCGTAGCCCCACTATATTCCCGCCAGCGTGCCCAGGATTCTGCAAAACGTGGTGAGAATAAATGTCTGTAGTCACGTCTTATTTTGAAACATTCCGTGACAAATGGATGAACAATTGGTGACACCTGTCCCACCCAAGTTGACAACCTTGGTTAAGTAATTGTTTGTTTATTGTTATTATTGTCCCTAGTGTGTACACGTGGTACAGGCCATGATAATCATGGTGGGTAGAAGTAGGTGACTGCTTTTACTCTAAGTGCACTACATGTCTACACATGTGAAAAGCAGTTCGACTTTGCACTTACAAATGTGTCAGAGCCCCGTTTGGTTATTTGCACTCGCTACTTGAAAAATAGTAAAACAGTGAAATTGTACTGGGATCAGGTGGATAAATTATAAGAAAAAGGCATTTCCTGATTATGCAACTTGAAGTTACTGATGGCTTGCGTCATCTATCGGAATAAATATCAACTATTCTCGTTGATTTTTAATTACTTCAGAATTGGCCTAAATTTCGTGATTTTTCAGGGTGCCCCAAAGACCAGCTTTTTTTGGTCGTAAGGTACAGCTTGCAACACGTTGATGAGGGCCAACAGCTCCGACACGCGTAAGTGGTTCTTGATTAATTAAAAAATGGTATTTTTTCCCCAATTCCGGAATAATTATAAATCACGATTAGTTGACTTAGAACTAAAATGTTTTCAATATTAGACATCCTGATGGCGTTATATGTAATATTTTAATTAATTTGCTTTTTTTTTCTTATTTTCCATAGGATTATTCAAATAATAATCTGTATATATTTACCATGTGTTCATAATTTAAGAAAAAGGCATCTCCTTATCGTGCAACTGAAAGTTGCTGATGGCTTGCGCCATCTATCGGAATAAATATCAACTATTCTCGTTGATTTTTAATTATTCCAGAATTGGCCAAATACCCATTCTTGATTAATCAAGAAAAGCTAACCACGGACGCGTTTCGGGCTGTTGGCCCTCATCAGCGTCGTGCAAGCTGTACCTCAACAACCAAAAAAAATTGGTCATTAAAGCATCCTGAAACATCATGAAACGGGTAGTTAAGGCCAGAATTGCGTGAGAACGCTACACAATGTGAAAAAATAATACAAATGTAGTATTGTACTGGGATAAGGTGCATAAATTAAGAAAAAGGCATCTACTTATGATGAGGGCCAACAGCCCGAAACGCGTCCGTGGTTAGCTTTTCTTGATTAATCAAGAATGGGTATTTGGCCAATTCTGGAATAATTAAAAATCAACGAGAATAGTTGATATTTATTCCGATAGATGGCGCAAGCCATCAGCAACTTTCAGTTACACGATAAGGAGATGTATTTTTCTTAATTTATGCACCTTATCCCAGTACAATATTACATTTGTATTATTTTTTCACATGTGTATATAATCTTTCTCCATTTTACCCCTTTGTATATTTCCCACTTTCATAGGTTTCTCCGTCTTGTAACCCCAAGGAGAATCCTCTGTAAGACCTGTGGGTCTTAATAAAGGTTTTGTGTGTGTGGAAAAAAAAATGCATATTACAAACGAAGAGTCACATGATTGTGTTTGAACTCCAGTCAGTGTGGGATTATACAAACTTACAATTTATTATAAACATGTAGAAGATCAAATTATCTCGAAACCTTGCTTATTTGATTTAATTTAAAAAAAATGAAACAAATAATTAATTTTTATATATTAAAAAAAAAAAATTTTTTAAACTAACGATAAAAATAAAACATCTGGTCATTCTGAAACTTGGTCATCTTGATATGCTTTATCACCCTAGGAAAATCTGGTCATCCGATTCCAGGTAAACACAGATAGACGACAAAAGTTATCGTGGCTTAGTTCCGGTTGGTCTGTAAACAATTCAGTACCTATCATTTCTGCCAACTGATCTAGACGGGTAAGTTCCTCATCTTTGATATATATATACCATCTATCCTCACTTTTATCTTCTAATATATAAAAGCCAATGTCTGTTTCGCGATAAACTCAAAAACTACTGAACAAATTGGTACCAAATTTTGCATGTCTTTATTTATAAACCTGAAGATAATTTTAGGCTACATTTTGATTAGTATTTGAAAATAGAGCAATCCATAAAGGTTGGCGTTCAGTCAACTGAAATATTGTTAATATAAATGATTTTTTGATCCAATATATGCCTTTTTAATTAATTTGATTAGTATTTTTGGCTTTTTTTTTTTCATTTAATCACACACACTTTTAGCCTGTGGTTTATTTGTTACTTCTGTATTGCTATTCTTTGGCACTTCTACTATTTATTATTAATATACTTTCAGTATGAAGGAAATTGCACTCGTGTGAATTCACGGGCGAAGCCGGGTCATTCGTCTAGTATACTATACATAACAATAACACCCCATCTATATAATACAAAAAAAAACACAAAAACGCGAATGTTTCTTTTCACAAATAAATCAAACTTCTACTGTCCTTACTGCGATGAAAAATTATTGAGAAGGTTTGGCTTATCAGTGGTGAACCCTCCCAGCGGTTTCGCCAATTTAATCTACCAGACCGCTTCTTTAAAGCTCTAATACTGTATTGGATCATTCTGCTTATATATGTTACACTGAAGGGTGGAATCTTAGAAATGGTATCTAAGCAAACTATGGACATAAGCTTTTAGGATAGTAGAATTACATATAAAAATTTGCATCGAGCAATGTTCTTCCGCAAACAATAAGGACATGGTCAGTTAGGTATTTTCATTGTGGTTTTTTATCGCAGTAAGGACGGTAGAAGTTTTATTTATTTGTGAAAAGAAACATTCGCGTTTTGGTGTTTTTATTTGTATTTGCAAAAACATTTTATTAGGTATCGCTCAACAAGAGCAACCTAGTTTATGATAATGGCAAGAATAAATAATATATGAAGGCTATTCACATAATAAACAAAATGTTAACGCGGGATTCAATCCCAGTTCATGGTTGTCGGTAATCGAGGGTGTTACATACTTGTCCACCGACTCTATATATATTTTAATTTGTATTTATATACTTTATATTAGATAAAACAATGAGGGCCCGTGGCCGAGTGGTATAGATCATCGATTTTAGATAGATACGACCCGGGTTCGAATCCCGCAATTCAAAAGAAAAAAAAATGTTTCAACGATCCTCCGATACTTCCAAAAATCCATTACTCACCAATGAGTGCAAATATTCAAAATGGGCTCCGTACACACTTGTGAATGTAGAACATGCTTTCATCATGTTTAGGGTTCACCACTAATGAGCCCAAACTCTCACAATGTTTTTTCATTACAGTAACGACAGTAGAAATTTATTTTGTGTATAAAAGGGAAACATTTGCGCTTAAATAATTTAATTTTTAATGGTATTTTGTTAGCGTCCATCAAGGGGAGTTCAACACTTTTGGTGACCAAATATTTTCCAATTTGATCTGATATTTGGTTCATTTAGTTTTCTCAGCAGTGTTTGATGCTTTCATCATGTGTAGGGTTAATCACTGATGAGCCCAAACTCTCCCAATGTTTTTCCATTGCAGTAAGGACATTAGAATATTTTGTGTATAAAAGAAACATTCGCGATTAAATAATTTAATTTCTTTTATATAGATGGCGCGATAAATATTTGTATAACATGTGATATTGTTGTTAGCGTGTGTATCCAACAGGTCGACTTTTGGTGACCATATGAACAAATAATATCCAATTTGATCTGATATTTGGTTCATAGAGTTTTTCAACAGTACTTGATACTGAAGTGTTTGCCAATGTCCCTCTTCCATCAAGGCTGTTAGACAAATAACTTTGCCTTATCCGCCTTTTGGACGATTTCTCCTTCCAATTACAAGGGAGAGTGTCCTTCTTCATTTCAAGAATGAAGTTTAAGTTTATCCCAGCTTTCATTCTGTCCCCTCTTGTGTTGGTCATCCCATAGGATGTCCGAGTCCGATCTTCCAAGTCGTTCCGCCAAGAGATCAACACCACAGAGGGTCCGTACGTCTCTTGACCTCACTGACAATACAGCAGCTACATCCCATTAGGATGTTGTTTGTCCAACTCTACCAGAGTTGTATTCACACTGGGAGGTATACAAATAGGGGGTTTTCCATTCATTGGGATTGAGACTAAGTGACTTTTATCAAACCCCTCCCGTACTTTTAGAGGACAGATATGTGGTATGTACAGTATAAAAACCAGTCGTTTAATTCCCACCATGATTATCATGGCGTACTTGGTATAAATACTACACCACCATATGTATCAGTACAAATGTATCAGTTCAGATAGTAAAATAGATTAAAAGTGTGGAAAATGAAAGCTACCGATGGGAATCATTTCCAGGATTACTGATTAAATGGCCATAGGTTTCTCTGAAAAGCATTTTTATCAAAAGATTCTTTGGGTCTAACCCTGACCTTTGGTGACATCTGATAAGCTGGATGTCAACAGCGAGACACTGAAGACTAACTAACCAGGACAGTTGGTGACTTCTGTACGTGGCTCCTGGTCTCAATACATGCTGAAAGGTACAACTTCCTTAAGTTTTGTCCATGAGTGTATATTGGTTATCTCGTGTATCTTCAAGAAAGATCACTGTAATATCTTTTTGTGCTATTGTCTCAATCCCGATATACATGCTGAAATGTACAACTTCCTCTTAAGTTTTATATATAAGTGTAAATTGACAATTCATAATTGCACTGACTTGCAATATATAATAATACAGTAGAACCTCCTTTAGCGGACACTTCGCTAGAGGACACCTCTCTACAAAGGACAGTTTTCATTTGCAAAATTACCATTTTTACAATTTATAAATTCTCCTGTGAGAGGACACTCTCTCTAAAGGACAAGTTGGCTCTGAAATTAGGTGTTGTCCTTTACAGGGAGGTTCTACTGCTTAATAAACGATCTTCACATTGAAAATATTCACATAGAATTGAAAGCTAGTGATGACTAGACAAAACATGGCTTCGCCCGGTGTCCTCCTGGGTGAATGATTGTCCATCCAATATTGGTTTAATCTAGAATTTAACTACTATTCGTTTTATTTGAAGTATATAATAGAGAGGAATGTAGTATTTGTAGTAGAGATAGGAATTGATTAGTAGATTATTATAATGATCATTGTCCAGAATATGCAAATATGCATGGCATGACATATTACATTTGCCAAGGATGACACATAGAGAATGACACACTATAAAACTGAGTCTAATATACAGGAATCTGTGTTTTAAAAGGAGAGCAGGATAATATAACTATGTGTAAATACACTCATGGACAAAACTTATGGAAGTTGTACCTTTTACCATGTATATCGGGATTGAGACAATAACTCTGAAAGATATTACAGTGACATTTATTGAAGACATACGAGATAACCAATATACACTCATGGACAAAACTTAAGGAAGTTGTACCTTTCAGCATGTATATCGGGATTGAGACAATAACTCTGAAAGATATTACAGTGACCTTTATTGAAGACACACGAGATAACCAATATACACTCATGGACAAAACTTAAGGAAGTTGTACCTTTCAGCATGTATATCGGGATTGAGACAATAACTCTGAAAGATATTACAGTGACCTTTATTGAAGACACACGAGATAACCAATATACACTCATGGACAAAACTTAAGGAAGTTGTACCTTTTCAGCATGTATATCGGGATTGAGACAATAACTCTGAAAGATATTACAGTGACCTTTATTGAAGACACACGAGATAACCAATATACACTCATTGACAAAACTTAAGGAAGTTGTACCTTTCAGCATGTATATCGGGATTGAGACAATAACTCTGAAAGATATTACAGTGACCTTTATTGAAGACACACGAGATAACCAATATACACTCATGGACAAAACTTAAGGAAGTTGTACCTTTTAGCATGTATATCGGGATTGAGAAAATAACTCTGAAAGATATTACAGTGACCTTTTATTGAAGACACACGAGATAACCAATATACACTCATAGACAAAACTTAAGGAAGTTGTACCTTTCAGCATGTATATCGGGATTGAGACAATAACTCTGAAAGATATTACAGTGACCTTTATTGAAGACACACGAGATAACCAATATACACTCATGGAGACAAAACTTAAAGAAGTTGTACCTTTCAGCATGTATATCGGGATTGAGACAATAACTCTGAAAGATATTACAGTGACCTTTGTTGGAAGATATACGAGATAACCAATATACACTCATGGAGACAAAAACTTAAAGAAGTTGTACCTTTCAGCATGTATATCGGGATTGAGACAATAACTCTGAAAGATATTACAGTGACCTTTATTGAAGACACACGAGATAACCAATATACACTCATGGACAAAACTTAAGGAAGTTGTGCCTTTCAGCATGTATATCGGGATTGAGACAATAACTCTGAAAGATATTACAGTGACCTTTATTGAAGACACATGAGATAACCAATATACACTCATGGACAGAACTTAAGGAAGTTGTACCTTTCAGCATGTATATCGGGATTGAGACAATAACTCTGGAAAGATATTACAGTGACCCTTTATTGAAGACACACGAGATAACCCAAGTGTGAAAAACCTCTGTCTCCTTCAAAAAAAAAATATATATAGATGACCGGCGACATCAAATACCTTCCACTTCCTTAAGTTTTGTTCATGAGTGCATAATTTTGTAATAAATAAACAAATTTGAAAATATTTTAAAAAATTTTCAGAATTCCAACTCCAAAAGTGAAAGTTACCAAAACCAGATCTCTATGTTTACAAACAACAGCTTTTGTGTTAAAACGTTAATGAATGAATTTACCTTTTCATTCATTGTTTCCCACCTACGCCGTCATCGTAGTAGCACGTCACTTCCGGCATGCGTGGAGACCTGCGCAATGACCTCATTTGTAAAAAAAAAAATCTTGACATAGATGAGTCACGCATTGTTTACATTTTGTGTCAACCTTGTTACTTTTCTCTCCTTCCATACTTGGGAAACCCCATTTGGTATCACAATTCTCTTTCAAGAAATTAAACCAATAAATAAATATACGGCTATATCTTAACCAATCTTTCTTTGCATAGGAAATGGAAGTATTTAAGCACGTATGTTTACTTTATACACACAAAAAAAAAAAAACTTCTACTGTCCTTACTGCGATGAAATAATATTGGGAGGGCTTGGCTCATCAGTGGTGAACCCTCCCAGCGATTTCGCCAATTTAATCCACCAGACCGCTTCTCTTAGAGCTCTAATACTGTATTGGATCATTCTGTTTATATATGTTACACTTAAGGGTGTAATCTTAGAAATGGTATTTAAGAAAACTATGGACATAAGCTTTTAGGACAGTAGAATTACATATAAATATTTGCATCGAGCAATACTCTTCCACAAACAATAAGAACAAGGCCAGTTAGGTATAAATTAACATAAAGCAATAACGCGCCTTCTATATATAACAAATGGGATCATTTAAGCATGAATGTTTATATTAAATTTAATTTAATTGCCATCTATCGTTAAAATTTTACACAAATAAATTTACTGGCAATGTGTTTCTTTTAAATATCATCAAATATTATCTCTGCAGACCTTACTGCAATAACTTATATCATTGCAGTTAGGTCTGTAGAGATAATATTTGATGATATTTAAAAGAAACGCATTGCCAGTAAATTTATTTGTGTAAAATTTTAACGAATCGTTATTTTATAAATAAAACAAACTTCTATTGTCCTTACTGCGATGAAAAATATATTGTGAGGGCTCGGCTCATCAGTGGTGAACCCTACTTTCTTTATTTCCTACTCGAAGTTTCAGTGACTCCCAGTCAACTCTACTCTGGGTATGATTAGTAGACACAGAGATTTCCCTTGGTAGAGTTGACAGAACTGGTAGAGGTAGAGTTGACAGAACTGGTAGAGGTAGAGTTGACAGAAAGTCATTGAAACATCAGGAAATATAGAAATATTGTGGTTTATATAACTGTTTTTTAAACAAACTTCCAACCAATAAATGGCGTTCGAAACCATTAGAGCACGAATTTTATTTTCACGTAAAACACATCTCCCCATATTTAAATACGGATGACAAAATATTGGGAAGGCCTAACTCATCAG